TGATATACCTCTTTGGCAGAGCTATTTGGTCATATATATTTAAATTTCAAAATTTGCATAGCCTTCCACCTTGTGTTTCCACTTGTAGGTATCAGTGGGAGAGAATTATAGGCACAAATTTAAAAGAAAGTATATACAAAGATGGTGATTGCAGAATTGTTTACATGTGTACAAATTGGAAACAAATGTCCATAGTTAAGGGAATAATTAAATTGTGTAGTGGATGATATTTGCCTTCTCAATATCCGTTTCCTTCTTCCTCTTTTCTAACAAAATTGTAATTTTATGCAAATATCCACCTTTCCTCAGAGGCCCAAGGTCCCAGAGAAAGCTGACCTCACCAGTGGCTCAAAGAATAGGTCTAATTGTCTAAATGTACTTACATCTATCTTGCCAATGATTGTTTTGCAAAAGAACATGAAACTCACTTTAGTGTGTGACTCAGTTTAGGTTGTGGGACTTCTGGAAAGTTCTTCCTTGATCTTCTGGGAGAACTTCTGAAATCAACTCAATCTGGTTTCTGAATTCAAAAGTTTCTAGACTCAACGTAGCCATCTTATGAGCATTAGGGAAGGCTGACTTAGAGTGAGGCCCACATTGTAGATGGTACAGCAGAGAAAGGAAAACAGAGGCAGGAATGCTCCTGCCTCAGCTTCCTGAGTAGCTGGGACTACAGGTGCACACCACCATGCCCAGCTAGTTTTTGTATTTTTAGTAGACACAGGGTTTCACTATGTTGGCCACGCTAGTCTCAAACTCCTGACCTCATTATTCACCTGCCTCAGCCTCCCAAAGTGTTGGGATTATGGGTGTGAGCCACTGCGCCCGGCCACTGCAACTTGATTCTTTGCGGCATCACCAATCAATCATATAGTGTCCATAAAAGTGACATAGCGGCTGGGCAATTATTTCTACTTTTTCATGGCGAAAAACACCAACACAATAGTAGGTGCGGGCAAGATAAATACCAACTGTAGGTCCCTTAGACATGGTTGCTGGCGTGTAGGCCCAGCTCCAACTTCGAAGAAAGAAATCCTTCCTGTC